CAGGAGTGAGCTGAAACTTTTTATTTTTATTTTTTCCTGAGGCAGAATCTTGCTCTGTCACCCAGGCTGGAGTGCAAGTGGCAGGATCTCAGCTCACTGCAACCTCCTCAACCCCGGGTTCAAGCGATTCTCTTGTCTCAACCTCCCAAGTAGCTGGGATTACAGGTGCCCACCACCACGCTCGGCTAATTTTTTCTATTTTTATTATTTTTATATTTTTGAGACAGAATCTCGCTCTCTCACCCAGACTGGAGTGCAGTGGCGCGATCTGGGCTCACTGCAAGCTCCGCCTCCCGGGTTCACTCCATTCTCCTGCCTCAGCCTCCCCAGTAGCTGGGACTACAGGCACCCGCGCTAGTTTTTTTTGTATTTTTAGTAGAGATGGGGTTTCATCGTGTTAGCCAGGATGGTCTTGATCTCCTGACCTCATGATCCACCCGCCTCAGCCTCTCAAAGTGCTGGGATTACAGGCGTGAGCCACCTCGCTCAGCCACCAGTTTTTAAATGATGTCATGGACTTAGAGTCAGGAGTGGGGACAATGGAAAAAACACAACACTATTGGCTGACACCTGTAATCCCAGTGCTTTGAGGTGGAGGTGGAGGCAGGAGGATCACTTGAGCCCAATAGCTCGAAGCTACAGTAAGCTGTGATCAAGCCACTGCACTCCAGCCTGGGTGACAGAGGGAGACAATGTGGAAATAGACTGGTTCAGAGTACTCATAGAAGGGACTGGGCCTGCCAGTGAGATCTGGATTCTTGCCCTGAGGAAATGGAGGCCTAGTCAAACAGTCAGTGGGTGGGGGAGTCAGAGTCAGTACCCGGTGTGTACGCCTCAGGAGCCCTCTGCTAGTAGCTGCAGCCCTGCACTGTTCCATATGGTGACCCCTAGCTGTGGTGGCTACTGAGCGCTGAAACATGGCTACTCTGAATTAAAATGTGCTGTAAGTATAAAACACACACTGGATTGTGAAGACTTAGTATAAGAGAATGTAAAGTGTCTTATTAATAATTCCCTTTAATTCATTATATAGTGAAATCACGCTGTTCTGGAGCTATTGTTAAATAAAACATGTTAAAATCAATTTCACCAGTGTTTTTTTACTTTCTCAAATGTGACTACTGAAAAATTGAAAATTACTTTTGTGGCTGGCATGCTATTTCCATTGGACAGTGCTGCTCTAGAGGACTAGGCGCCTGGGACCAGCCACATGGGTGGCATTAATTTATTCATGGAATAAGGTTTCACTGAGCATCCTTCGCTAGTGCTGGTCTACAGCTGATCTCAAGGGTGGGGGTTAAGCTGGGGAGGGGGTGTCGTCGCCTGCACCTTTGGTCCTAAAGGAGAAGGCAGGCCTGGGTGGGCATCCCTAGGTGGGTGCTTTTGTTACCAGATCCGGAGATGATGCTTGCACGCCTGTGTCTAATTAAATCTGCAAACCATGGCGATTAAAAACAACAGAAAAGGGTGGGCATCTTATGTATTTTAACGAGCTTTACTACTTCGGCAGAACTCCAAAATTAAAAAAAAAAAAAAAAAAAAAAAAAAAAAAAAAAAGAGAACAAACCCACAACCTTCAGGTTATTCATCTAATCCAAATCCAAAATACACTCGATGATTACATTTCAATCAGATCCGAAGATGGGCTGGGGGTGGGGTCGAAGGAAGATCTAAAATTGCCCCATAAACTCCAGGGGGTAGAAACTTTGCCAAGTTCAGTTCTTGTATCCTCAGCGCTTGGAACAGTGAGTGGCGCATAGTAGGTGCTTCCCTTAAATACTGGAGTGAGTCTACGCACGAAATTGTACGATTCAGGGGTGAGTTTTCCGGGAAGGGGGATGAGGGGTGGAGAAGGCCTCTAGCTTTTGTCAGTCTCACAGGAGTCTTGGATCCCCAAAGGGTTAAAAACCACTTCATAAAGACAGAGACATGAAATTTATTTGAAATCAATGTCAAGCATCAGTTATTCGAATCCTGGGGCTTGGCCAGACCCGGGCGTCTGGAATGATCTACGTGCTTAAATACACCACTCGCCACCATTTTCTCCAGGTAATTTTCCATCCCTGCCCCCACCGTCAAGGGGAAGAAAGTGCTCCTCGGATCCCGGCCGCCTTGGCCTCCTGCAGCTGCCGCGGGGGCGGCCCCCAGTGCA